CGGGGAATCCTAAATCCAGGTCAAAACGCCGGTAGAGGGCTGTCTGTCCCGCATTGCATGCGTATTGGGAGGCAGCACCTTCGCCATAACCCCAACGGCGACCTTAGTGTTGTTTTTGCTGGCACATTTTTTTTTGGAGCCCCTTTATATCCACTCTGCCACTGAGGAGACAAGACTCCTCCCAGCCTAAAAATTATATCCACGTCGACCAGGAGGACCGACACGCCTCCCGAGTGGCGACACCGGGAGCCAATAGGCTTCAGCCAAGAGTTTTTTTTTATTTTTATTTCGTTATATATTTTTTTTTTGTTAAGTGTTTATTTAATTTTTTTTTGTATATTTATTTTATTTATTTATTTATTTATTTATTCTATTTTTATTCCATCCTTTTATTTATTTATATATATATTTTTTTATTTATTTATTATCTATTACACCGTTTTCTTCGACATTTATTTATTTTGTGCATTTGTGATATTCACTTGTTTCAATTTTTCTGAGTGTCTAGGCGAATTTTTTTGTGGGTAATTTTGTTTATTATTTATTTATTTGCGCATCTTTTTTGTCCCCTCGACCCCCCTTGAGAGCTCTTACGGGTAGGTTTTGAATTGGAATTAAATAGGGAAATATTACAATCATCGTTTTATTACAAAAAAAATCCGCAAAAGAATTTAAATACACTAAGAATCCGCGCCAGAAATACCTGTAATGGAATTAAACAATTGTAATAAACATAAGTGAATGAAAATGGATATGGAATAATATATATTTTATTTGGGAGAGGGAAGGGAACCGGGGAAATGAGTGGGTGATCGTGTGAGTGTGTGTGCGTTAGGGGCAGCTGCATATAGATGATTACCTGCGAGCAGACTGCATGGTAGGGAAGGGATGAGCAGGTGACCTCCAGTCCATCAGGAGGAGAATTCGTGTCTGTTATGTGTGTGAGGAGATAGTAATGTGAGGAATTTTTGTGTGTTTAAGTGTAAACCGCGCGGGTTAGAGTGTTGTGACATCGAATATCGATATTTATTGTTATGTGTGTGGTGGGCAGGGTTAGGGAGCCCACGGCCCGATGAGAGAGCTAGCCGGAGCCCGAAAACCACGCAGGTCCTTCGTAGGGACATAACACATCCTCTGTGAGAGTTGTAATAATTAACTAAAAGTTAGCGTCGAAAAGTGCTTACCATTTTCCTGCAAAAGAGAAACACTGGAATTTTTCTAAATCTGTCGTTAGGATCTCGTTCAAATTTATATAGAAAATCATAATTAATGTTTGCATTCGTTTGATATACCGTGCATGTTGGTACATCCTCTGTGAGAGTTTAAAAATAATTAAAAGTTAGCGTCGAAAAGTGCTTACCATTTTCCTGCAGAAGAGAAACACTGGAATTTTTCTAAATCTGTCGTTAGGGTCTTGATCAAATTAATATAGAAAATCCCAATTAATGTTTCCTTTCGTTTGATATACCGTGCATGTTGGTACATCTTCTGTGAGAGTTGTAATATTTAATTAGCAGTTAGTGTCGAAAATACCGCGCCGCCATGCGGTTCTCATACCGGTTTGGGGAAAGTGCTTACCATATTTTCTGGAGAATTTCTTTGAGAATTTCTCAAAATCTGTCGTTAGGATCCCGTTCAAATTTATATAGAAAATCATAATTAATGTTTGCATTCGTTTGATATACCGTGCATGTTGGTACATCCTCTGTGAGAGTTGTAATAATTAATTAAAAGTTAGCGTCGAAAAGTGCTTACCATTTTCCTGCAGAAGAGAAACACTGGAATTTCTCTAAATCTGTCGTTAGGATCTTGATCAAATTAATATAGAAAATCCCAATTAATGTTTCCTTTCGTTTGATATACCGTGCATGTTGGTACATCCTCTGTGAGAGTTGTAATAATTAATTAAAAGTTAGCGTCGAAAAGTGCTTACCATTTTCCTGCAGAAGAGAAACACTGGAATTTCTCTAAATCTGTCATTAGGATCTCGTTCAAATTTATATAGAAAATCATAATTAATGTTTGCATTCGTTTGATATACCGTGCATGTTGGTACATCCTCTGTGAGAGTTGTAATAATTAATTAAAAGTTAGCGTCGAAAAGTGCTTACCATTTTCCTGCAGAAGAGAAACACTGGAATTTCTCTAAATCTGTCGTTAGGATCTTGATCAAATTAATATAAAAAATCCCAATTAATGTTTCCTTTCGTTTGATATACCGTGCATGTTGGTACATCCTCTGTGAGAGTTGTAATAATTAATTAAAAGTTAGCGTCAAAAAGTGCTTACCATTTTCCTGCAGAAGAGAAACACTGGAATTTCTCTAAATCTGTCGTTAGGATCTTGATCAAATTAATATAGAAAATCCCAATTAATGTTTCCTTTCGTTTGATATACCGTGCATGTTGGTACATCCTCTGTGAGAGTTGTAATAATTAATTAAAAGTTAGCGTCGAAAAGTGCTTACCATTTTCCTGCAGAAGAGAAACACCGGAATTTCTCTAAATCTGTCGTTAGGATCTTGATCAAATTAATATAAAAAATCCCAATTAATGTTTCCTTTCGTTTGATATACCGTGCATGTTGGTACATCCTCTGTGAGAGTTGTAATAATTAATTAAAAGTTAGCGTCAAAAGTGCTTACCATTTTCCTGCAGAAGAGAAACACTGGAATTTCTCTAAATCTGTCGTTAGGATCTTGATCAAATTAATATAGAAAATCCCAATTAATGTTTCCTTTCGTTTGATATACCGTGCATGTTGGTACATCCTCTGTGAGAGTTGTAATAATTAATTAAAAGTTAGCGTCGAAAAGTGCTTACCATTTTCCTGCAGAAGAGAAACACTGGAATTTCTCTAAATCTGTCGTTAGGATCTCGTTCAAATTTATATAGAAAATCATAATTAATGTTTGCATTCGTTTGATGTTGGTACATCCTCTGTGAGAGTTGTAATAATTAATTAAAAGTTAGCGTCGAAAAGTGCGTACCATTTTCCTGCAGAAGAGAAACACTTGAATTTCTCAAAATCTGTCGTTAGGATCTTGATCAAATTAATATAGAAAATCCCAATTAATGTTTCCTTTCGTTTGATATACCGTGCATGTTGGTACATCCTCTGTGAGAGTTGTAATAATTAATTAAAAGTTAGCGTCGAAAAGTGCTTACCATTTTCCTGCAGAAGAGAAACACTGGAATTTCTCTAAATCTGTCGTTAGGATCTCGTTCAAATTTATATAGAAAATCATAATTAATGTTTGCATTCGTTTGATGTTGGTACATTCTCTGTGAGAGTTGTAATAATTTATTAAAAGTTAGCGTCGAAAAGTGCTTACCATTTTCCTGCAGAAGAGAAACACTTGAATTTCTCAAAATCTGTCATTAGGATCTTGATCAAATTAATATAGAAAATCCCTATTAATGTTTCCTTTCGTTTGATATACCGTGCATGTTGGTACATCCTCTGTGAGAGTTGTAATAATTAATTAAAAGTTAGCGTCGAAAAGTGCTTACCATTTTCCTGCAGAAGAGAAACACTGGAATTTCTCTAAATCTGTCGTTAGGATCTCGTTCAAATTTATATAGAAAATCATAATTAATGTTTGCATTCGTTTGATGTACCGTGCATGTTGGTACATCCTCTGTGAGAGTTTTAATAATTAATTAAAAGTTAGCGTCGAAAAGTGCTTACCATTTTCCTGCAGAAGAGAAACACTTGAATTTCTCAAAATCTGTCGTTAGGATCTTATTCAAATTAATACAGAAAATCCTTATTAATGTTCCCTTTCGTTTGATATACCGTGCATGTTGGTACATCCTCTGTGAGAGTTGTAATAATTAATTAGCAGTTAGTGTCGAAAATACCGCGCCGCCATGCGGTCCTCATACCGGTTTGGGGAAAGTGCTTACCATATTTTCTGGAGAATTTCTTTGAGAATTTCTCAAAATCTGTCGTTAGGATCTTATTCAAATTAATACAGAAAATCCTAATTAATGTTCCCTTTCGTTTGATATACCGTGCATGTTGGTACATCCTCTGTGAGAGTTGTAATAATTAATTAAAAGTTAGCGTCGAAAAGTGCTTACCATTTTCCTGCAGAAGAGAAACACTGGAATTTCTCTAAATCTGTCGTTAGGATCTTGATCAAATTAATATAGAAAATCCCAATTAATGTTTCCTTTCGTTTGATATACCGTGCATGTTGGTACATCCTCTGTGAGAGTTGTAATAATTAATTAAAAGTTAGCGTCGAAAAGTGCTTACCATTTTCCTGCAGAAGAGAAACACTGGAATTTCTCTAAATCTGTCGTTAGGATCTCGTTCAAATTTATATAGAAAATCATAATTAATGTTTGCATTCGTTTGATGTACCGTGCATGTTGGTACATCCTCTGTGAGAGTTTTAATAATTAATTAAAAGTTAGCGTCGAAAACATGGTTGGCGCATTCAATTGGTGAGAAACATGGGTTGTGTGACGTCTCACGTTTGGCGATCGGTGATTTACTTTGCTTACATAAAAGTAAATAAATGAAAAATTGACGTTTTCTCCTGAACGACTGAACAGAATTTGATAAAACACCTACCAAATTGCTTAGAATGACAATGTCGTTTATTGGGCATTCATAATTAACACAATTGTTCAAATTGTCAATGGAAATATTTTTTGGCGGGGATTAATCGATTTATTAAAAGTTAGTTCGGTTCTGGCGCGCTGAACTACTGGCTCACGACGGGTTCCAGTTCCGAAGTTCGCGCCTTCCTAATAGGGTCTTCCCACACAGCGTTAAAGCGCATTTAGCATCCGTTGAACAAATGCTCCATAAGGTTTTGCCGTTCCGAATTTTCCCAAATGGCCCGGCGTTAGTTCAGCATTAGAATCTAACCACGGTTTGTTTGCCGATAGTTAGGCGATAGTTCTTCGGTGCAACTCTGATTCTTCTTCTTAATTTGACCATTCACCACGAAAATGTAAACAAACTTGGCGAGGAACAAATGAAAAATGGAAGGCGCCAAAGCAACAGGTTGTATATCAACAGGTTGTTTACATTTTAATATTAATAATTGTTTTTAATTTTGCAGATGATACTAGAACCGCCGGTGGGAAGCTGAGGTGGACCCTGCAAATGGAGTGCCTGCTCATCGATGTATGGCAGGAGAACATGGAGCAGTTGCGAGGATCTCGCAAGAACTCCCATATATACATGGAGATGGCCCAGACCTTGATGGAGGCTGGGAATGATGTGTCATGGAAGGACATCAAAACGAAGGTGGATAACATGACGAAGAAGTACAAGTAAGTATGAGTACCAGAACACATTACATTAATTGTGTTATTCCTCGAAATTATTCTTATTTGCAGGCAGGAAAAACACAAAATGGGGCCAAGTGGTGGAGCTCCATCTGCGTGGCAGCATTTTGAGGCGCTGCACTCGTTCCTCGGATCGTTCCGTGTCCACAATATGGAGCAGGATACGGTGGACAACGAGAGTATGTTCCCTCCCAGATATTTTTTTGTACATTCAATAATTAAAATGTTTTTATTGCAGATACGACGGAGTATTTTACAGAGGAATATCTGGAGGACGTGGAGGAGACAAGTATGAGCGGAAGTCGACGTTCCGGCAGTTTGCCTCCAGCAAAAAGAGCGAAAGTAGACCAGAAAAGCGAGCTGGTCGAGATTGCTCGAGAGAGGCTGGAGGAGCAGAAAACGCAGACGGAAATTCTGCAAAGAATGGCGGACAGCCAGGAGAAGTTCCAGTCGGAACTTCTCCGATTTCTGAGGGAGTCCAAGCAGTAAAAAACATTAAATAGAATAATTAATAAAAAATCCAAATAAATATTAATAAAACCATAATTTATTTACACATTTTTGTTACCATTAAGGCAATATTGAGCAATTGCTGCTCTAACTTTTTCAGCAGGTTGGCTAAAATCTGCAGACATATTCGTTCGGTTGGGTTGTTCTGGAAGGTCACTGACAGCCAGTTGCCAATTATCATTAATAACGCTGTTGTGCTCATTTAAAATGTTATGCAAAATACAACAGGTTAGAACAATTGCATTATTGTTTTTGTAGTGGCTGTCAAGTCCCTTTCCAACAAATCGAAATCTGGCCTTTAAATGCCCAAAAGCATTTTCAACAACTCGTCTAGCTTTGGACAAATTGTAATTAAATGTGCGCTCTTCTATGCTCGCGGTCGTCGAAAATGGGTATGGTTTCATCAGCGTTTGGGAAAATCGGAAAGCCGAGTCTCCAATAAGCAGCAGCGGAACTTGTACGCCACAAATTTCCTTTGATTTTTCCCAAATTAATGTAGACGACCCCAATTTCCTTGCAAGGCTAGACTTTTGAAAAATAGTCGAGTCGTTGCAACGCCCTGCAGAGCCGATGTTTACATAGGTGAATCTGTACCTATAGTTAATATACAATTAGCAGATTATGAAACATCTAAAGAGCAGGTAACTTGCCTGTAATCCACAAGAGCGAATAGTACGATTGAGTACCAACCTTTATAGTTGTGATGATCGACTGCATCTGCTGCCGATGGTTTTATTTCGATATGACAACCATCTAGAATATAGATATATATATTTTATATATGTACGTGAACTGATTAATGAATTGATTTATTACCAATTGCTCCTAGACATTGGCGAAATCCAATTTGTTCAAACCCCCTGACACACTCCTCAACTTTTTCGAGAGTTAAATAGTCAGGGGACATGAATTCACCGGCAAACTCGGCAATGACAGCCCGGCAAAATTCATGGAGGATTTTGCACACACTGTTTTGTGCCACACCGAATAGCCTTCCAATGGAACGGTACTACGACGATGATCCCAAGGTGTACAAGGCGATAGCAATCCTCTTCTCCAAAGGAATTGCAGTTCGCCAGTTGGTATCCTTCTTTCGGAGAACTTCTAGGCGATCCACCAAAAAGGAAAAGGTACGCTTCTCCATCCGAAAGCTCTCTTTAAAGAACTCATCGCTGTTTTCCGGTATATCCTTCTCCCAAAATGTTCCGAATCGCTTCTATTTAATATACAAATCATATTTAATCTGTATTTAATTAAATTTTGGTAGCACCTACCACCATCCACACGCTTCGTGGCATTTGCTCTTTGGTAGAGTAAAGGACTTCAAGGAGAGCTTCCAAGTCGTCGTCGTCATTTACATTTAGCGACATGAAAACCTGTCGCAATCTAAGATTTTGCTGCTGTACAACAGCCAAAATAGTTGCTAACTTCTCCATATTAATTTTTGCTACAGCCAATTCGACAGCCTTTGTTTACGTTTTCATGAGTCACAGCTGATCGATCAGCTGTTCGGATGCTAAATGCGCTTTAATGCTGTGTGGGAACACGAGTTTCACATTTGTGAAAAATCCCAAACGTTCCTCACAAATGCGCTGTGTGGGAAGACAGTATAACAGCCATTTTGAATGGAAAACTGTAAAGCGATTTTCTCAAAATCTGTCGTTTTGTTTTTAATAAAATTTTCACCAAATATTCTATTTTCGCTCCCCAATATGCCCATAAGCCAGTTATAGTGGTACATCCTCTGAGAGCTAAGCTTGGCGACCTTAAACTTTTGCTGCCGGTTTTTGTTTGGAGGGGAACCATAGGTTTGGCCACTGTTGAGCGATTTGCTCAAAAACTGTCGTTAGGATTTTAATGAAACTTTCTGGGATTATACTTGAATATGTGCCCCAAAACCTGGCTTACCGGGTGCGAAATCTTAAAAAAGGTGGGGACTTGATTTTTCCAATAGAAAATTTAGGTACCAGCGTTGCTCAAAACTGCCTGTCTGGTTATGCAGCCCGCACCTGATGACCCAGCGGCTAAACAACAACAATAAATTTGCTCTGCGTAGCAAAGCTTTACCTCTCCTCCTGCCTTCTGCATAACATAAACTTTATCACTCTCTCGCTCTATTTGCATAGCTGCCCTTGGCCGTCCGCTAACTGCAGCAGAAATTCTTTTGTCAGTTCGTCTTCGTTTGTCTTCACCTACGCCTGAAAACGATCAGCTTAAATATTTGCCTATAACCTGTTTCGGACCATTTCGGGTCATAAATATCCGCAGCGGCAATTCGGCTGGCCTGCGCTGATAATTGATAGAAAACTTCGTGGCTTAATAAATATTGCATTTAATTTATAACGTTTTAAAACAAGTGCGTATTTTTTGGGTCAAAAGGAAATTGGACAATTCGACAGCTATTGAAAAAGCTCAATAGCTCAACATTTGGTGACCCCGACGTGATCTTGGCTAGTAAAAACATTAAACATTTCGGTTTAATAATTGTGCCAAGCGCGTAAACAATTTCGTTTAGTGCATTGCTTGTGGCTGTACTTTGCCGCGCCGCGCTAGGCAAACGTACATACATACATACACATATATGCACCGGTACTTTTGCGTGTACTCTTTGCTCTCGTTCTCCTGCTTGCTGTTCATTTGCCGTCGGTAACAGCTATTCGAATTCGCTTCCCGCTTATTTTGTGCAGTAACTCTGACAAAATACTTTCGCTTGTGTGCGGGCATCATTGCGGTACAAAGAAAAATCTGCAGTGCATGTCAAACTGTTGGCTGCAGTTTATATTGTGAGCTAATAAAATAAAATGTCGACCCCAGAAACTCCTCAGTTTTCGCCGCCCAATCGAGTTACGCTCTTTAAGCGTAGGGCAAACGCGATAGCTGCCCATGCTCAAAAATTGCTTCTGGCCTTACTGCCGATAGGGTTAAGGCCGTTCCTGAGGAGGAGCTCACCCTGAAACTTGAGCTTATAAATAAAACCGAAGCCTCTTTCTCATTGGCTCATGATTCGTTGGAGGAACTCGATTATGAGGAAATTGGCAGCAAAGCGCGGGACGACTTCGAGGATTTGGTGTTCTCCATGAGATCGGTGGTGCTGCAAGAGCTGGGAAAGCGCAAATTCCAAGGAGTTCCGTGTTCAACCATGCATCCAGAGGTGGCCATGGAGGCCGCTGCGCCTGCTCCAAGAAGATCGTGCCTTCCTGAGCTTAAGTTGCCAACCTTCAGCGGCGGCTACACTGAGTATGCCGATTTTATTTCAATGTTCCTGACAATTATTGATAGGAATAGTGATCTGGCTCCAATTGAGAAGCTGCAGCACCTGAAATCATGCCTGAAAGGTCCAGCTTTAGATGCCGTTCGTTCGCTGGAGATCACTGACTCTAACTATGGAGTAGCGCTGGAATTACTTGACAATCGCTTCAATAATAAACGCCTTATTTTTCAGGCTCACATAACAGATATTTTTGGTTTGTCAAAGGTGGAAAGTGCATCAGCTGTGAAGCTGCGTGAGCTCTCCGATAAGCTCAATGCCAATCTTCGAGCGCTTCAGAGTTTGGGAACCTTGGAGGAGATCGCTGGTTGCATTCTTGTTCATACGCTGCTGCAAAAAGTTGACCCGACTACCCAGGCTAAATGGGAAGAGTCTGCCTCTCTGGACAAAATACCCACCTGCGCAGAATTTACTAAATTTCTGGAGAAGCGATGCCAGAAACTGGAGAATGTGGAGCATGCTGCTTTATCCAATGGTGGCAATTCGCAAGCTTCAAGGCCCAGGAGGTTCAGTAGTCATGGGAGAAGTTCGTTTGTCGCCACTAGCATCACAGCCTCGACCAGATTGTGCGTTATGTGCCAGGGTGCAAATCATGGCATTTATAATTGCGCTCAATTCTCCAGCCTTTCTCCTCAAGCTCGTCTGCGTGAAGCTAAACGGCTAGCCTTATGCCTAAACTGCCTCAAATCTGGACATCAATTGAGGAATTGTAGTTCGGGCTCCTGTCGAGCATGTGGATCAAAGCATCATAGCCTTCTACACTTTCCCGCACCGCCTGTAACAGCGCCCCCACAACCTGCTCCACCTAACGTGCCATCGTCGTCAAATGCTGTTCCAAATGTATCGTCAAACTTCTCGCTCGCTTCGTCGTCATCGCAATCCGCTGCTTTAGTCGCTCAGAATCTTGATACGGATTGTGTTTTGCTTGCCACTGCAGTCATCAGTGTGCAAAATCGCTCTGGTTCGTGGGTTCCTTGCCGCGCCTTGCTCGACTCGGGATCTCAGTTGCATATCATTACTTCTCGCCTCGCACACTCGCTTCAGTTGCCGAAAGTCAAATCCACGGCCACTGTATCTGGACTTGGAGACTCTAAATTTTGCTCGGATGGTTTTTCGGTAAATATTACTCTAAAGTCTCAAGCTTCAGATTTCGTCTCCAGTATCTCGGCTTTGGTTGCGCCTGCCATCACGGACGACCAGCCTAGCTTCACCGTCAGCCCAGAGGACTGGAACATACCTTCCAACATTCGCCTGGCCGATCCACAGTTCTTCAGATCACAAAGAATTGACTTATTAATTGGAGCAAGTCTATTCTTTGAGCTGCTATGCGTTGGCCAAATTAAGTTGTCTGATGGGCTCCCGTTGTTGCAAAAAACTCGATTGGGATGGGTTGTCACTGGCGGAGGATCAGCGCCACGCCAGTCAGCGGCCTTGGCGGTCCAAGCTACTGCAGGGACGTTAGTCGGAGATGACGCTCGTCTGGAGAGCGTTGTGCGGAAGTTTTGGGAAGTTGAAAATGTTGGAGAGTCTGGATCTCAACGTACCAAAGAGGAACTCGATTGTGAAGCTCATTTCAACGCCAACTTTACTCGGCTGCCGTCAGGAGAATACTCGGTTCGCCTGCCAACCAAGCATAGTGTTGAAATCCTGGGAGATTCATATCAACAAGCTTATCGTCGTTTCGTTAACCTGGAGAACAAACTGGATCGTC